CAAATGCAGCGCAAGCATTTATACTTGCTGTTGTTGTTGTTGTGTTTAGCATATTTAATTTTAGCCAGGCGGAAAGGAAAACTGAAGAACGGCATTGTCTTCTCTGCTGCTTTTTCTTCTTTATACACTCTTTGTTAAAAATAAATTATATATTTATTTTATTCACGCACAAAACAGAAACAAAAACAAACAGCAAACGAAAGCGACAGATGGAGTGAGTGTCATATGCAAAGAGCGCAAGAGGATGGAAGAGAATGGGTGAGCGCGAGAGTAAGAGAGAGCGCGCACATTCGCCTAAACTGAGAGCGAAATTAACTTTTGCCGGCTTTTTTGGGCCGCTGCGCAAAGGAGGGAGGAAAAAGTGCAATCGCAGCAGCAATAGCAACAACGGCAGCGGCAGCAGCAGCAGCAGCAACAGCAGCCGCTACGAAAAACTAAAAAAAGCGCATCAAACAAAATCGTCAACTAAAAATAAGCACATCTTTGTTGTTATCGTTTTTGTTGCCGTTATTGCTTTGGTTTTTGTTTTTGAATTTGTTTTTGCTTTGGCATTTAGTGAGAGCACGCGCTTGGCGTTGCGTTGGTTGAATTCATAGGCGCATTTGTATTCGTTCGTGACAGCTCTGTTGCCAAGCACCGAAGTGGAAGGAGAGGAGAGGAGAGGAGTGCAGCGCGCTGCGACACCACTCCCCCTCCCGCCGACACAGCGTCCAATGCCTTATTGTCGCTTTTTACACTATCCTTTGACTGACAGTTCTTGGGCAATTTTCAATTTCAATTGATTTCGACGTTCAAAAAATAAAACCTTTACGTGCGCGTCTGTGTGTGTGTATGCCTGTATTTGTGTATGTGCGCTCGTATGTGAGTGTTTATTTTTTTTTTTTTTTGGCCAAGCAATTTGCTAGCACAACAACAAATTGGGTCAACCACAATTAATATAACTAAATATAGCTAAAACAAAAATTCATCGGCAGCACCTACAACAAGAACAGTAATCGCAACCGCAACCGCAACAGCAACAAATAAGGCTGATAACAGTACATAAGGAAGTAGAAGTGCAAAAGCTTTTACCGTTAGAGTGACGACAAATCATAACCGTGAGAGAACATAATGCTGGTGCAGGTGACAAAAATGTCGAAGGATTTTTCAATTGTTTTAAATAATGAACAATGTTTATTTATTTATTTATTTATTTTTTTTTTTTTTCATTAATATAGATTATAATGCAACAGGTACAATTAAAAACAAAACTAAAGACACATAGCATATTTAAAAAAAATTGTTTAGTTGTTTGTTTGCTTGGTTGGCAACAAGATTGAAAAACCTTCAACATATAAAAAAAAATTTTTTTTTTTTTTTTTTTTTTTCAAAGGTATAAATTTGTTGGCTGCTAGACGGTCTTCAAAAAACTTAATCGGGAAAGAGAGAGCGAGCGAGAGAGAGAGAGAGGGGTGAGAGGAAAAAGGGAGAGCGAAACAGAGCGCGATAAACGTTTTCAGTCAATTAGCACATTTAAAATAATTCAATGCAGGAAAACAACTGAACTACTTACTGACTATAGTGTGTGTATGTATATGTATGTATATGTTTATATATGCATATAGATCATCGTTGTCATATAAAACCAGCCCATAACTGGAACTCACTGGGTAGAGAGAGAATGAATTAGTAAATGGTTTAGTACACGGCTTTACTTCCGGAAAATAAGAGTTGAGCCACAAATCTGCATATAAAAAAGCCTGTATGTATTTATGTATGTATCATTTATATAAGCATATGACATATCTACATATATGTGTGCTACATGATGCTCATCGCGTCTAACTAGATCAGATCTGATAACAGCTCAGCTCATTTGTTATGCAGACTTTATGTAGGCTTTTCTTTTTCTTTTCTCTTCATCCAATTCTACAAGATTTTTAAAATGTTTTCAATGATTTAAAAAAAAAATAAATATTATCATTTCTTATTGAGCATTGTAATAAATATTACAGGTTTGTTTCTTATTAGTTTGTTTGTTTATTTTATTTTGTTTTTCTATTTTTATCACATTGAAAGTGTATCTTCAAGTGTTCGACGTGTTTTGCTTAGTTTACTTTGTTGTCAAATCTCTTTTCCCTTACAGTTGCTGTTATTGTTGTTTTTGTTTTCTGTTTCTGTTTCTGTTTCTGTTACTGTTGTTGTATAACAGCGCACACGAGAAGTTGTCGCCGGTTGTTGCTCTGCTGCGCTGTTGCTGTTGTTGTTGTTGTTGTCTTGTATTTGAATTTTTACTTTTGTTTGCATTTTGCGCATCGTTCGCATTGTTATTGTTGTTGCTTTACACAAACACACACCCGCACATACACATACACACACGCTTACGCGCGTTCTTCTACATACATATGTACATATATGTATGACTATGTATATATACATACAGTCGACTCTCGTTATATCAAACCTGCGATATTTCGAACCACTCATTAAATACAAAGTAATCACGAGCCCCCTACAAAATCTCTTTATATTAGCAATATCGTATAAATGAGTTTTATTCAAAGAATAATTAATTTGTACATTAGCTGATTACGTATATGTAAATTATCAGCAGTTAAATAAAAACCATTGATAATTCCAAGTTGTTTTTATTTTCTCTCAATATTTCGAGCCATTTAAAATTTTAGACATTCGATAGTTCGTAATATTTTAAGAGTCCCCTGAATTTCAAAATAACGAGAGTCGACTGTGTATCTTATCGCGCTAACAATACAAAGTTCTTTTTTGCTACTGCCTTTGTATGTGTATGTGTGTATGCACATACATGCATATATGTAGATATACAAATGTACTGTGCGAGCTAAATGCATACATACATAATTATTTTCATTTTTTATGTAATCAACAAAACAGCGGCCACATGCGGCGGCGGCAGCACCGTCAGCGCTGGCTTCTCGGCCGCCGCCACTGCCGCTGCCGCCAGTTGCTTCCCTCCTTTGCCAAGGTTCTCAAAAAAAGCACCAAAGACACCAACACCAACACCACAGCACACGCACACATACAAGATGTGTGAGGTGCAAAGTCATAGCGTCAACAAAAGCCAGAGCGAACGCGTGAGAGAAACAAAGAGAGAGAGAGACGAGGGAGCGTCGTTAGTCTTGTGCCGAGTGGGTGGGCAGCAAAAGCGTCGCCTGCCTGCCAATGCGTGCGATGCTTTTTTTCTTCTCCTCTCACATTCTCCCAGCCACTGCCGTCAATCCCTTTCGCAGACGTCATGTCAAAAATATTATGCCTTGTGCGTGTGTGTGTGTGTCTCGGTGTATTTGTATTCAATTAGTTTTTAATGGAGGCGTTGTAGAAATTCCAATTGATTTTTAAGCACACGCACACAGAGCCTAAGCTGTCTTTATCATTGCATAATCTCTTTTTGTTGTTGCATGCTAATTGCACACAAAGCTTCTATTTTATTTATTTTTATTTTTTTCTTGTCCTCCTTTTTCTTTTTCTGCCATTTGAAGCTCACGAGCTCAGAGCTCCGTCGATGCTCAAGCAGAAGTCAGACACAATGACGAGGTCGCTTTATCACAAAATTCAAACCTCGCTACGTCAAAACGAATCAACAAATACAAATATGACACGACTCGCGATGCGCGACGCGCTGGCTCTCGCTCTCGCTCTCCCTCTTTGTTTCTCTTGCTCTCTCCCTCCCACTCACTGTCTTTCTTGCTCTCTCTTATTCTCATATGTAAGCAAAAGCTGAGAGCTGAGAGCGAATCGCAATAACAATGCAAATCCATAAAAGGCTGATCGCAAAAACAAAAACAATAATAACAACAATAACAACAAATAGCCAAACAATTTATAAAGCACGAGCAGTGGCGTCGCGACGCATCGTCAAGGGACGCCAACGCTGACGTTGACGTCGCAACGCTACGCTAACGCTTTGTTTCTATTTTCCTGCTGACGCAGACATTGGTGGGGGAGAGAAACGAAGCACACTATTTCTCTCGTGAGCGCGTAACGGCAAAACGACGACAACGACCACAACAATAATAACTAACTGAAACCGAAGACGCCGATTCGGATGCCACTGTACATCGCATTAACTCTGAATTCGAATGCAAATCAATTAATAATCAATATTTATATAGTTTCCATTCTAGCTCGATTTGCATGTGAATATGAGTTCAATGCATGCATTACCTCACTACAAATGACCCAAATATAATCTCTGATGATTGTGACGTCACGAATATACTATACATGTAGATGGACATACATATACATATAAGCACACCTTTCATGTCAGATCTGTCACTGGGTTGCCATGTGACATGTGTGCACATATATTACAAATTTAAAATAATTATATATATATATATATATATAATAAAAATAAAAACAAAATATTCTTTTAGAATATTATGCGCCGCAAATAAATTATAACAAAGACGCAAAGAATAACAAAATATAGCGTGCCTCTATCTCTCTCTCTCCTTCTAGCACACACTCGCTCTGTGTGTGCGAGGCAGGCACATCAGTGCGGACGACACTGTAGCAACAAAACGTACAAATGCGGGCGACAATAATTGCTGACCACCTCACACCACCCCCTAACCACACGACACAGAGAGCTGATCGTTTGCAGTTGCATTTCAATTCCAATTGTTGCTGAATGTGCGCTGGCAGCGACGCCGCCGCGTGCGCCTTTGCTGCGGGCCACTGCAGCAGGGGGCGTCAAATTTACAGCTACAACAATAACAAACCGCAAAGAGACGCGGGGGTCGACGTCTCTGCCAGCAGTATGCAGTAGCAGTATTTTTTTCTTTTCTTCTTCTTTTATTTTGTTTTCGGTTTTGGTGTGACCAAATTTTTGTATTGACACACAAACACAAACACACACACATATACTCACTCACACACATAAACAAATAAAAAAATATATATACACACAACGTTTTGTTATTATTGAATTTATCTACATTTGTTTCATTTTGTCTTGCTTAGTATTTTGCACTCACGTTTTCTTATTGATGTTGCTATCAGAGCCAGCTTCGCTGCTCCCCTCTCACACTGCAACGTCAGCGTCACCGTTTGGATTCTTGTTTGCTTATCTCCTGCTCTCTTTTGTCTCTGTTGTGGGCGGCACTTGCCAAGCTTTTTACGCACTTTATGGTTTTGCTGATTGATGTTGTTGTTCGTCTTCTTCGTCCTCTTGAACGTTGTATCGACCAATTAATTAACACTGCACGCGAACGCACCACACAAAAAGATTGCCAAAGACGGCGAAAGTCAAAAAGCAAACAATAAAAAAATAAATGTCAAATAGGCAAAAAGAATATAGTATATATATATATATTTAGCGTTTATGTTTGCACATTATCCAAAATCAAAGTCATCAGAATTATCGCAGTGACGTTTTGTTATAATTTCTATATTATTATTTTTCAGTTAATTTCTAAGCGTTGTCTTGACACCGCACGTCCGTTGCGCTGAAAGGCACAATGCAAAATGAATGAGATTTACAGAACTCTGACAGTGGCGACAACGGAACGAAGAATGAAACGATACACAAAACGAAAGGCACAAGGCGGCAACGCGGCGCAGTCACCTATGTATGTGCGACTCACAATGGGCACAGTTCACTGTGGACTGCTGGACTACACTACTCAGTTTATTTTATTCATTAAAATATTACTCCTATTTCGAATTAATTACTTTATGACATTTAACAAAAATTGAGTTTGGATATTTTAGCAATCACTGTTGTTTGTATTCATATAAAATAAGAATTTTGTCCACAGTGCGACTGTAAGAATTACCGTAGCAGTCGGCTTGCGTATGTCTGCCTCTATACCTGCCTGCGTGTTGTGTACGTGTATGTTTGTGACTGAGAGCGAGAGCTAGGGAGAGTGCGTGTATTGGCGCTCCCGCTGTTAGACTTTCTGTTTGTTGTTGTTGCTGTTGATGACGCTGTTGTTGCAACTTGTCAACACATTGACGTAAACTGACAGCAACCGCAACGCCAGCCTGTTTCATTTAAAGTATTGGAATTTGCTATTGCCGCCTTTTGCAAATTTCATTTGTCTAAAAACACAAATGACACTCACAATTATTTGCATTTTAATTGCAAAAACAAAATCTTGTTTATATGATTTTCACGCACGCATACTAAAGCAAGCACAGCTCGCATACAAAAACATATGACTGCGCTCTTTTGGCATTTCGCTATTGTGTTTGTGTGTGTGAGCGAATGAGTGTATGTGCTAGTGTATGTATATGTTAAGATCGTAAGAGAGCGAAAGAGCAAGATCAAAGCGCGTGGCAAACACATGGTTTTTGTTTTTGGCAGAAAAAAGAAGAAGTAGCAACAGCATGGATCGCTTACAGTTAGTTCAAGTGTGCTTGTTTGTTGGTGTACTTTGTATTGCACAGTGGGACTAGATGTGATCGAATGACAAAGCTTTTATATGTATATATGTATGTGTATCATTAAGTATAACCATTTCACGCATGTGCACATGCTTATTCGTGGAATTCGACTTACATATGTATTTATGTATAGTTTTTAAAGGAAAAATATGACGTTAAAATAATAATAAAAATATAATTATAATACACATATGTATGTATGTACATGTATTAATTACGTATACATACATATATATTTATTCGATAGAATTTATGTAGACATATGTATGTATGTAAGTCTATATTTTTCAATTTCCCTTGGAAAAAAGCTGTTTGAAATACTCCAATTTCATAATTTTTATATCTACCGATCGTTTACCCAAACCGATATGTACATAGATATGTATGGATGTGTAAAAGTATACATATGTATATATTTGTATATTTCGTGTATACATACATATATGACAAATATATTGGAAGGTAATAGTATTTATAAAAATAATGTGTCTACACCATAAAAATTATATGTATACATGTATGAATGTATCTGTGCAACTACGTATATGTATATACATATATGTGCACATGTGTCACACGTTGAGAGGCAAAAAAGTCAATCACACATACACAACCGCAACATCAGACGACGCCATCGTTTGCGTCCGACGCTGAATTGCCCATCGACACCCGCCCGCAAATAACAAAACAGCGTCAACGACAACAATCGCCGTCTGTTATCATTCTCATTCTCGCTCTCTCAGCTTGGCGTTTGTGTCTCTCTGCCCTCTGTCGCTTTCTCGCTCGCACTTTGTCTGTCTCTCGCTCTTGCTCATCTGCCCGCATATACTGTTTAGCACTTTAGCGCAATATATCTGCATTTAGTTGATTTAGGCTAGGTATGCTAACAACAAACAAAAACGCAAAGTGCATATCAAATAAGAAGCTTACGAAAATAAAAAAAATTCTTAATATGTATATTGATTGATGGTTAAATTTTTTAATTTTTAAAATGTGATCTTAATTATTAATTAATTTTGGTCACTTGATACAAATAAATGACAAACATTAAATTGAGAGCTGATTATGATTTATGCGTATTGCTCATCATATTCGTGAGCATTGTCTAAAGCAAAGTGGAAACTGAAGTGCCGTTACTGTTTCTCCGCTGCGTGTGTGTTGCGCTCTAATTTTGATCATGAATCGCACACGCATACTCACAAACATAAACACAGACACGAATACATGTGCACACTCAAGCAGCAGAAGCACATGCACGTACATACTACGTATGCAGCCAGGCAAGGCAAGCCGCCAGTGGGGCAAACGGCGACGCACTTGTTCCACGTCGCACTATTAATGAAAATGAATTGTAATGCGAACGTGTTAATTAGAGAGAGATAGCAATGAAGAGAGCGGCTTTTTTTTTGTCAATGTGTTTGAGTTTGTGTTTGCACTGGTCGTTGCCGATGTAAAAACAAACAAAACAAAAAGCAAAGCATAAGCTGAGTAGTGCACAAAGTGTGGCAGAATAGACACAACTACTACTACGACAACAACAACAAGAACATCAACAGTAAAGAGAAAGCCAACCGATAAGCAACAACAATATAGCACGAGTTCTTATCGTTTTGCCACTCAATTATACAAATTTTCATGATTTGCTATTGCCATTTTTGTACTGCAGCTGGCGTTGATGGCGATGCCGACGCCGACGCCGACGCAGACAGAAGCGTCGCGCACACAGCACAACATTTTGCGACGCTCACGTAATTGAAACGTCGGTGGCGGCTTTTACTCTAATTGGAATTGTTGTATGCCCGTTTTCCGGCCGGTTTTGGCCAAAGCGATTTTTTTAACGTGGCCGGCCAAAAGTAAATACACACATGGGCAGAGATAAAATGTATATAAATACATATGTATGTATGTATGTACATATATTTGTTTGCTTGTACGTACTATACCTAAATATGTTCAAAATATACATACATACATACATGTACATATGAATATGTATGCTTGTTTATAAAAAATAGAACAAATGAAGCAAAAAGAGGCAGAGAGTCAGAGTTAGCGGCATTAGCTGAGACTGCGACTGCATATAAGAAGCAGAAAAACTAACAAACAAAAATTATGTGGGCCACGCTGAGCGCACTAGAAGGAGAGAGGAAGACTCATAGAGAGAGTGAAACGGAGAGCGCGCGCATTGGCTTGATAAGAGCGCCCTCCAAAATTGTTTACTCACAGTTTTAGACGCTACTGTCCCCATGCGGTCAATCTGGTCGTTGCTTTAAAACCTCTCACTCTCTCTCTCTCTCCCTCTCTCTCTCTCTCTGTCAATGCTGAAATACAGACAGAGCGCATTTAAAGTTATACAATCTGCTTAAATCCAATAAGCAAGTGAAATTACTTGATTGGAAATTGCGATGCATGGAAATTTGAAGAGCTTCAACGAGAGCAGCAAAAACCAGTTAGAACAACACAAAAAGAGCGAAAGAAAGAAAGAGAAAAAACTATAAACAGTTAAACAGGTGCATAACAACAATGAATCGACAGCGTGAGAGCGTGCAAAAGCTTACACCATACAGATGCAAAAACAAAAAATATAAAGAAAAACAAAAACAAATACAAAAGAAAAGAAAAGAAACAAAACAAATACACTACACACACACACAGTTGTACGCACAGCGCGTGTTGAGCGCGCACAGTGTGACCAGTAGTAGCGATAATGTTCCGAATCTAAGAGCAGTCACGCTGCGCCGTCAACACGTGATGACAAAGAAATACAAACATACATACATAGGTAGGCATGTATGTATATAAACGAAAATGCGTGTACTGTCAAGATAACGCAAAGGCAAACGAGCGAAGGCAATCTTTTCTTTTACGTCACCACATTGTACCGTGCAGGCAGACAGCGACAAATGTGGAGATCAACACAGATCACTTACTCAACCCCAAAACGTGAACGCAAACCGAAATGTTTAAATGGCATTTTCCTAAACTATACACACACACGACACACCTACAAATACTCATGCACGTATACACACATATATATATGTGCATATACATATGTGTTTGTTTGTATAATCATGTGATACCAAAAATAAAGAAAAATGTGAAAATCAAATAACAGCGACTGCGACAAGGCACTAAAAAGTCACAAGCAAAAGTGGAGCAATAAAGCAAACAGTCGAAACAGAAACAGCCAAAAAAAAAAAAAAAATAGTGTGTGCATACATTCACACACAAACACACAGTTGCATAGCTATATGCATGTGTGTGTGCACGGCAACAGCTCGTCCATTTCTAATAGGTTGTATTTGCAATTTACAGCAAGAGTAAATCTATGCAAATAGCTACAAGCAAACGCAAAGGCAAAAGCTAAATCAAAAACAAAAACGATGCAAATACAATAGCAACAGCAAACAAACAATCAAAAGATACGCACAAAAAATGTCTCGAGACGCCGCCTGTATTAAATTTCAATGAAAATGAAAACAGAATGCAGGAGAAAAGCTTTTCTACACACATGCATGCATGCATAAATATATATATGTACATATGTATGTATATGTATATATATACGCTTCCATACATATTTATATATGCAAATACGTACATAGATATGTACATACATTCAGTAAGAACCCAATCAGCACTGGACCATCGAATGTCAAATACCCTATATACATACATACATATGTATGTATGTGTATATGTATGCACATATGCATTTATGCAAGAGGCTATACCCACATACATATTTACATATGTATGTACATAATTAATTGAAATAGGTCATTGATGGATAAATAAATAAGTTATTTTTGTTTGTAAAATAAATTTATTTGCCATATTAAAGCATGTATTTTTACATCATGTCATGTTCCTTGCATAGAGAGTTTAAAATGTGTGCGCAAACACGTGCATGCCTGTGCACGTCAGTCACTCACACTCACACTTATGCGCTTATAAAAGTTGAGACGTAGGTAATATACTACTGCTACTAGCGCGCACATCAAACACAGATGAGAAAGCAACACAGAAATTAGGCAAGCAAAACCAAAATTGTAAAAAACAATCTTAGCGCAGTTAGCGATGTCGA